TTTATACTGACAAAGTCACACTGGCCTTCTTGCTGTTGCTTGAATACAACCAAGCCTTTTAGGCCTTTACTAACTGTACCCTCTGCATAGGATGCCTTCCTCTGGATATTTACATTGATAATCCATTCAACTATATCAAACCTTTGCTCAAGGACACCATACCAAAAGATGCCTACACTTTGACTACCTTACTCAGAAATCCAATCCACTACCCCACAACTCTGGAGTTTCAGAATCACCTTAACCTTCTCTATTATATTGGTCGCTCACTTATTTCTTTTTAACTTAGTATAGAACTTTCTTGTTATTTTGCTTATTATTTATTGTCTGGATAGCACCACAAAGGTAGGAATTTTATATACATATAAAATATATATATATATATATATATATATATATATATATATATATATTCTCAACTGAGATATCCCAGAAGCCTACAATAATGCCTGGCACTTGATAGGCATTTGGCATTTGCTTCATAAATGAAAAAGTGAAAAGAGGATGTGGAGGGAAAAGGAGAGGGAAAGAATGAAAACCACTCTTGGGTTTCTTGTTTTCATGACTGAATAAATAATTGTGGAAGACACAGTTTTCAGTGATGATCATAAGTACCATTTTGCACGTATTCAGTCAAAGGACATATGCAAGATGCCAGAAGATATATTACACATGAATCCAGATGCCAGAAGAGTCAAGGACTGTGTTTTATACAATAGTGTAGTAAAAAAATGGTTACAGATCAGAAGGGAAATGATTATTCATTAAACAGTACCAAGAAAATTAGTAAGTAAATTTGAGAAACTCAGATCCTCTCCTATTATTTTCACTAAAAATAATTTTCAGGTGGATAAATATTTTAGAAATACACATTCATTGATATTCTTTAGGTATTAGAATGGAAAAGGACTAAGAATAAAACTTAGTCACAATAAGAATAAAGTCACAATTTAAAAGCTCCATGAAGTTGGAGTCACAAAGATCATTACTTTCATGTTGCAGAATATGAATGTAAAATTAAAAACAACAAATTGGGGGAAATATTTTGAACACAGATATGATAATAAAGGAGGTAGTGCCATCAACACATATGTGAGGCTGGTAAATCAATACGACAAAATTAATATTCTATCTATGGGGATGGGGAAGAAGAACACCTTAGCAAAGGTTCTATTTCAAATAAGAAAAGAATATGTGACAACTTTTTGCCTTCCTTAAATCACTTTTTCCCCACCACTGATGGTTGCTCCCCATCCCCTCCTTCTGGGAGATGATCCTCCTCAAATTCATGTAGTTCTTTGGAGGCTCTCAGCCAGATAACATTGACCTCTGCCCACCTGAGAGGACATGTGATCCAGACCGGGCCATGGAAGACCCATCTCAGAGCCAAAACAATGCCTGTTAGGATCTTTTCTCTAGGTTTTAATATGGAGCTGAGAAAGAAAGCCTTTCCCTTTTCTATGAGGCTGCCCTGCTGGAATGAGTTAAACTTAGAGTTATTGGCAGTGTCCCTTCTCTCCTCACACCACACATAATGAAATCCATGTGTAAAACAAGAAAATAAGATCAAGATTCAGGGATAAACAGAGTTAAGAGAGGGAAAAGAGAAGAGAAAGAAAGAAAAAAAGAAAGAAAGAAAGAAAGAAAAGAAAGAAAGAAAGAAAGAAAGAAAAGAAAGAGAAAGGGAGTAAAAGAGGAGCAAAATCCAAGAGTGTAAAAATGAGTGAATCCCTGGAGTCTATGAGGCTGATGCCACTATTGGACATCCCAATAATCTGAGTCAGTTAAGTCCTTTTTTATAAAATATTTTTTTTATTTTGCCTGGAGTGCCTGGGTGGCTCAGTCAGGTAAGCATCTGTTTTCAGCTCAGGTCATGATCCCAGGGTCCTGGAATTGAGCTCCAGGACAGACTCCCCACTCATGCTCTCTCTCTCTCTCTCTCTCTCTCTCTCTCTCTCAAATAAATAAAACATTTAAAAATAAAATAAAATGCTTTATTTTTTATTGTAGTTTTAAAATTTACCACCTTGAGCAGTTTTAATTGTACAGTTCAGTAATGTTAAGTGTATTCACATTGCTATAAAATATCTCTAGATCTCTTTCCTCTTGTGAAACTAAAACTTTTTTAGTTATTTTAAGCTAGTTTTGATTGCATTCCTGATACATGTAATTCAAAGAGTTCAGGTTAATAACAATATTTAAAAGATTACAAGCATATAAATATAGAAGAAATTTAAAATAACTTTTTATCTTTTTGCTTTTTAAATTGGCTAATATTTTTAATAAGTGGTCATATTCAGTGTGTTGGGGGGTGCTAAAGTGTATATACTTCTTAGCAGGTACAAATCTTTGGGGAAAAATGATAATATGAATAGAGTTTAAAAGTTTATTATCCCCTATTAACTCCAAGTATATCAATCTATAAAGGAATCAATCTGAAATATAAATAATATATATGCAAGATTTTCAAAACAGAATAAAAAATTTAAAAGAATCTGATCAATGAGAGAGGAATAACAAATATAATTATGACATGGTCATATATAGAATACTATGTATTTAAAATTATTTTGCACTACAATATTTAATAAGGTGAAAATTTTATCAGAATGTAATACTCATCAAAAAGGCAGGATAAAAGTGTAGATACCATTAAATCTCCATTTTGTAAATATATGTTTTTATTTAAGCATAGAAAAACACTAGAAATAAGTATACCAAGATATTACTATTAATTATCTCCATATGGTGACTTTATGGATGATTGCTATTTTATCATCTCTAATTTACAAATAAATTTTTCTTTATTAGAAGAATTTTTTCTTTTATTAGGAAAAATATACTCAGATAAAATATGGAGGATTTCACATCAAAAGTAATGGAAAATACAATCTTCTTAGAAGCAGAGATGTATTTATCAGTATCCTTTTGACTGTAGATGACAGAACCGCATCTTAAACTTAAGCAAGAGGGTTAATGTATTGGCTCATTTATTAGTTCAGCTGGTAGCCAAACCAATAGGGGGGTAAGAATGAAGCTGAATGCCCAAGACATCTGGAAGCAAGGAACTGATTAATGCCAAGCCTCTATCTTTAAAACTTATAGCTACTCCCACATATCTTTTCTCAGTATCCCAGACTTGATTTTTGACAGCAGGAAATATGGTTGCCAGCAGTTTCTGCATATATAGCTCTAAAATGGATTGAGTTTGTTTTCTCTTTATTCTCAATTCCAATATCCTAGAGGAAAGCTCAAACTTGGCCCATCCTGGTCAGAGGCTGATACCTGTACTCTTCAACGCTGGCTAAAAGATGTGCATTATGACTTGGTTCAGAAGCCCAACCTTTGACCAAACAGTGGAGTTAGATGTAGGATTTACGTGTCACCTTCATAATCATACCACACAGGTACTGCAAGAGAAAGCTACATTTACCAAGAGAAAGAGGTTGCTTATTTGAGCAAACAACAGACTAGATGTCCACTAAAAGTAGTTACTTCTTCAGAGTAAAAGGAAAGACCTTTAAAATTAGATGATACAGAAAATCTTTAGGCACTATGAAGTTGGAGAATCTACCTTGTAATAGATATAGACTTGAGAGAAAAGCAGAAAGACAAAAGATTGGGAGGGGTAGGCCTTTTTAAAATCAATACACATAAACAGTGAGGAATTTGGGAATCCCTGCTAGACCTATTGAACAGTATTTAATCAATGAAAGAGAAAAATGAGTGGAACTTCCATTTAAAAAAACACCACTCCCAAACTAATTTTAGGGAGCCTGAACATAAGTGGTAGCTAGTAAACTGATAATATAGGTACTGGTTTTCCAAATGTCCAACAGAGGGCTTAAAAAAATAAATAAAGGATATAAGAGCAATGGAAATCAAAAGAAAACGCAAATAAATTATCAAGTGAGATAAACTATGAGGTAAATAAGGACCATTTATAAAATAATAGGAATACTGATAAACCCATTAAGATATATGGAGTATGTGTAAGGATTTATAAGGTTCAGAGTCATTTGTATTACATCTCTGAGAATGAGCCTTTGTTCCTCTTTGTTGAGATAGATAGGAACTGAAATTTCTAAATCTATGTACACAAATCTCTCATTTCTATAAGAGAATTGGGTCATATATAAAAAGCCTCCCAAACTAAAACTTAGCTTATAATGATTCAAATTATGTAAATGCAATGGGAATAGTATTTTAGCAGCAGAAGAAAAAGGAAGAACCTGGCTAGTTACAAATGAAAATAAGAATGAATCTTAAAGAACATAGAAGTTAGACAGCCTAAAACAGTGCAAACAATAGTTAAATTTTGTTGAGAACAGCTAGCACTGTCCAGATAGGAAAGTGGCCTGGTCTAAGGATCCTGTTTTTCCACTCGTGATGGAAGGCATATCCTAGTGTGGAGATATAGGCATTAAGCATCAAAATCTGATATGATTAAAAATTTGAATAATCTATATAACTCCTCTTACTCTGATTTCCTGCTTATTAATATCCTTATCATCACCTGACTTCTCAGAAAAGTCCCTATAGTAAAATAGTAAGTTGGGCTTTCATGACAGTTCAGACCACTTTACTAATTTTTTACAGCAAATTAGTGTCAATCAGCAAGCATTCCCTTATATAACCCATTTGGACACTGAAAAGACTCAATTTTGAATTCTAGACCATAGTAAATTCATCAAAGTAATGTCTCTGAGAGATAAGCATTGGCCTTCTCTGGGAGATACTTTTTTTTTTTTATCATACCACATGTTTCCTCTAACCATAGGCAGCAACGCAATTTCTCAGTTAAGATTCTTAAATAATCATGTTATTTTCATCTGAGACACCTAAACAGTAGTAAGGTTCTTGGAAACTGATATTGCAACTATAGGAATTTAATGTTATTTCAAATAAACTCCATAATACTTTTGTAATTTAAGAAATCCTTCTATAAATAATAAATTGACTGCATATTTTACTCATTGCCACTTTCATTTCTTTGTTCCTTAATGTATAGATGACTGAATTAAAAAGGGAGTAAGAACTGCATCAAAAACAGCAAGAAATTTGTCTACGCATGATGTGGGGTGAGGCCAGGTATAAACAAAGATGCAAGGACCAAAGAACAAAATCACCACCATGATATGAGCTGACAAAGTGGAGAGGGCCTTGGATGAGCCTCTTGAGGAGTGTTTCCTAACAGTGATCAGGATAAAACTATAGGAGGCAATCAATATGAAGAATGACCCCAGAGATATAAAACCACTGTTGGCTGTGACCATGAACTCTAGACTGAAAGTATCTGTGCAGGCAAGTTTGATGAACTGAGGTAAGTCACAGTAAAAGCTGTCCAGCACATTAGGGCCACAGAATGGCAATTTTATAACAAAAACCAGTTGAATCATAGAGTGGGCCAAGCCAACTACCCAAGCAGCAACCAGAAGCAAAATACACATTTTTCGATTCATAATGGTCAAATAGTGGAGAGGCTTACATATGGCCACATGTCTGTCAAAGGCCATGACGATGAGCAGCACCATCTCCACACCACCAATGACATGGAGAAAGAAGATCTGAGTGATGCAACCACCAAAGGAGATGACTTTACGTTTTCTGAAAAGGTCATAAATCATCTTAGGAGAAATGACTGAAGAAACTCCCAGGTCAATGAAGGAGAGGTTGGCCAACAGAAAGTACATGGGGGAGTGTAGGTGAGGGTCAAATGTCACAGTGAGCATGATGAGGGAGTTTCCCATCATGCTTGCCACATAAAACATGGAGGAGAACACAAAGAGGAGAAGCTGGATCTCCCAGGAGTTGGTGAGTCCCAGGAACACAAACTCTGACACCACAGAGTGATTCGCTCCACCCATTAATTCTATCAGCTAGAATGTTTCCAGAAAGAAAGAAAGATAAGAAAAAAGATAAAGAAAGAAAGAAATAAAGAAAGAAAGTAAGTTAATGAAGCTCCATATTATAATGATTAATTATTTAAGGATATTCATACTGTGAAGACTATATATCCCCTCAATTCCTTCACAGGGCCATTATGAAATAAGCATTTTACCTGGTGTCACCTAAAGCAGTTGAGTCACTTCCATCCCTAACACCATGGTTTCCAGGACTATTCACCTATAAACAAGAAAATGAAGCAAACATTGTAGATGTACATAGCAAGGATTGGGAGAGGGAAGGAAGGTGGTACAGTACAACACAATAAGGAAAAAGAAAGAGGTAAGAAAAATGGCATTTGCCAAAATTCATTGGTACTACTTTAAATGATGAAGGGACAGGAGAGGATCAATGGTTATATGGCAACAATGATATTAGTGTGCATTTCTTCATCCCCAGCAAATTCCAAAAGCTTAGGACTCCATTTGGAATACAACTGCCAACTGACTGTCTTGCTAGGATGAGCTATGGCACCACTAGAGATAAAGGAAGGGAAATTTATTTGTAGGAGGCCAACTTTTACAAAGCACAATTCCATGGGAGTAACTATAAACAAGGTTCACAAAATTAATTATGAAGAATCTGGACAGATAAATCAAATTGACTTCCTTATTCCTTAACTTCCTTCATCAACCTTAACCTCTTTTATCCCTCTTATCTCCTCTCTGTGCTTCAAACCTCTCAAGTGTCTGGGGTCTAATGCCAAGTCTGACTGTTCTCTGACCCTATTCTGGGTGACTACATGAATCTCTTTAGTTCTTACCCTTTATTTTTTGGCAGGCAATATGTTACCACATGGAAGGTATATTCTCTGGCCTGTGGGTCAAATGGTTATGTATTAAGTCATCTCGCTCCCATAATACTTGGATATGCTGCTAAAAGGTGAAGTGATTTGAGAAAAGAGGTAGGTTGCAGAATAAAAAGTAAAGAGCTGGTAAGGTAAAGGTACATGAATGCACAAAAAGCCTCACATCTGGAACTGAAAGGAAAGGCCAAGAGAAACCCCGCAATAGAAAACAAAATGGATCTCAAAGCTTTGTCTTAATATGTGTATTTATATGCACGTATACACACACCTTGGTTGTGCATGAGTGAAATCAGTCATAAGACCATTATACCACAAATCTCATGAGTGATTACTTAGACCAAATTAATCATTTACAAATAAGAAAACAGTAGTCCAGTGAGGAAGAAAAAACTAGTTATAGACAGAGAATCTGGGTTTTCAAGTCCACATATGGCTTCAGATTCCACATGCTAGAAAAAAATCATAGAGTGAGAAGAGATATGCCAAACCTAGATCTACTCAGTCCAAAATGGTAGCCACTAGTTACATATGGTTATTAAATGAAACTAAAAATTTCCTTGGTTGTACCAGCCACATTTCAAGTGCTCCACAGCCTCATCTAGAGAGTGGTTATGGAAAGGATATGCAATACAGAATATTTCCAATCACTACTCATCCCTTAAAGGTAAATCAAAATCCCATTTCCTCCATGAAAAATTTCCTAGTAACTCCACTTTGATGAATCTCTTCTGCTATTCCTAGAAGTTAAGAAACTTAAATTTTAATTGAAATATAGAAGTTATCCACATAAAAATAAACCCCATATCTAGCATCATAGAAAATATTGCAGATGTCTACTCTTGGCCAGGATGGACATACAAGAGTCCAGGAAATTCAGAGACAGCTTTACAAAGGAGAAAGGACTTGTGAGTTTTGAAAAAACCAACTGCAAGAGTTTAATAAATTGAGAAGGGAAAAGAAAGCATTCTGAAAAGAGATAATAACTGATCGCTTATTTAGAGCAAATCAGTTGTTATTAATCATAATTCCTCAATGGGTTCAATTTTATAGATTTTCTCTTCTCAAATATATTGTAAGTTTGAGGAAGGAAAGGACCATTTCTTCTGACTCTTCCATTTCCTAAAATACAGTTAATAACACTTCTCTGAAGTAAAGCCATTTTCTCAGGTCCATACTTTTTCACAGTTGCTGTTTTTCTGATCTATCATCTCTTTCTATGAAGTCCAGTATGCACAAAGGAAGTCTCCAAATTCAAAACTAAGCATTAACACATTTCCCAATCACTCCCAAGAGAATGCCTGGTATTCTTGCTATAAACTTCCAGCTGGGGAGAAGGGAAGCCTTAGCTCAAGACTTATAATGGCCCATGGTTTAACTTCATGGAGTTTTAGAAAACAAGAAGAAGCACATTAAAGAAAAAGAAAGGGTTGGGGGGAGCAAGAATTCCAGTAGCAGCCAGCATAGCAGAGAATTTATAGTTTCTATTTTCCAGACCTCATGATGCAATTAGTAATCTTCCATGTCATTGTTAAAGTCAAAAAAGAAAATATAGGGTTTTTTTCTGCCATATTCTAAAAGTTTCTAAAATATTTAATGATGGAATCTTAGAGCTTGAAAACCATACATTATTTTTATTGTACATATTTATTGTATATATTTACTAAGTACTTCACATGTTTGATCCTTATAATCACCTATAGGTATTATATCTGATAGAATTATTTTCATTTTTAGATGAAAAACCTCAAATTCAGAGAAGTTAATAACTTACCTAAAATCATAGTTACTTAGTTTGAAACTAAAAAGCAGACCTTCTGATTCCAAATCCAGTGCTGTTTTGACTACATCACGCAAATATGGATATCTGTTCATGATCTAAAACAGTTATCCCATTATGAACTTTGGGCAAGAATGCAAAAAATGTACCTCTTAAACAGACATAATGTTATATGTCAATTATATTTCAATAAATCTGGGGGGGATTCCATTTTACTCAGAAGAATATTCCATCCGACCAACATAAACATTTAATACCCACATAAATTAACTTACCCAAGATTTTATAGCTACTGGTGGCAGAGCCAAGATTTAAACCTACATATTACTGCTACAAGTTAAGGGGAAGGGAGAAAGGTGACTGATGATCAGAATGGGGGAAAAAACCACCAAAGTTTTGGTGTTAGTAAAAGACACCAGGGGCACCTGGACTAAGGCTCATGTGATGATCTCAAAGTCCTGGGGTCAAGCCTTGCTGTCAGGCTCCCTGCTTGTCTCTCTCCCCCTGTCCCTCCCCTTCCTCCTTCCTCTGCTCCTGCGTGCAGGCTCTCTCTCAAATAAATAATCCTTTTTTAAAAAAAGTGGAGGGGGGGGCTCATCAAGACAAGGGGCCATTTACTCATAAAAAACCATAATAACTAACAGATGAGGAATATCCTACCTGGAGACAAAAATTTAGAATGCATCCAAAATTTGAAGTCATGAGAAAGAAAGATTTGCTTAAAGGATAGCATGTAAAGAGATAAAAGAAAACTAATGGAGGAAACATCCATGGCCAAAAAAGTACATAGTATTTGTCATCCTTAATTTTATTACTATTACTACTCTTTTTACATATTATCTGTCTTTTAAAAGTCCTGTTTCAGTGTACAAAAAGCAGGGGGGAAGGAATGTCAAAGAAATGAGTAATGGCTCATTTTCACAGGCTAAAGAGTGATCAAAATTAGAAGACTAAGTAAAAGGCATAGATTTAGGGCCGAGATATCACTGGTGCCATTAAAAAGGGATGAAATCTAAAGCAGAGAGAAAATTAATATTTTAGTGAGGTAACAGATGGTGTTAAAGTGTAGAAAGCAAAATCAGGAAATGACAATTTCAATAATACAGGGGAAAAGTTTTGAGGTGGGAGGAGTGGGAAAATAAGGCAACATGCTATGTGTAGAAAATTTGTAGAGTGTCAGAAATCAACAAATAGTTACAAGATAGTTTCCAAGCAACTATGGGAATCTTGTTGAAGAGGAGTATCATTATCATGAACTTAGCCAATAGCTAGATAGAACCTTTTTGTGACACCATTCAGAAATGTTCAGGAACTTCATATTCTGAATTTTAGAGTAGCACATCTGTGAGGCACAAAAAGCAGAATGGAGTATCAAAAGAGACAGATCCTTTGTTTATTTGTTTTGTTTCTTAGATTCCACATATGAGTGAAATCGCATGGTATTTGTCTTTCTCTGACTTATTTGCTTAGTGTCATACTTTCTGGATCAATCCCTGTTGTTGCAAACATTCTTTTTATGGTTTCATTCTTTTTATGGATGAATAATATTCATTGTGTATATATATATATGATATAAGATAAGATATATATATGATATAAGATAAGATATATATATATATATCTTCTTTATCCATTCACATATTGATAGACAGTTGGGCTGCTTCCATAATTTGGCTATTGTAAATAATGCTGCAATAAATAATGCTCACCTTGATGGTTATGAAAGTGGAGATGGCTGGGGGGATGGGTGAAATAGGTGAAGAGGATGAAGAGTACACTTATAATGATGAGCACTGAGCAATGTATAGAATTCTTGAATCACTATACTGTACACTTGAAACTAACGTAACACTGTTAACTCTGGAATTAAAATTAAAATTTTTTTAAATAAGATACATTCCCTTAAAAAAGAGCAAGATAGAGAAAGAAAGAGATCCTTGGAGGTCTGAGGTCACAATGAAATTGTTTAACCAAATTACATCCTGGGCAATGCAGCAAGTGCAGCCAAAGATGAGGGGACATGTGGAAATAACAGAATACAGATCAGAGCTCTTAAAAGCAGTAATTACAGTAGGTATATGCTTGTGATAACTCTTTTACTCTTTTCTCCCATATCTTGATTCTCAAAACTAGATCCCCATTAAAAATCAACTTCACTACAACATTATGACTACAGTTAACTCTGCTATATGGTATATAAGAAATTTGTTAAGAGAGTAAATGCCTGGGATGCCTGGGGGCTCAGTGGTTGAGCATCTGCCTTCAGCTCAGGGCATGATCCTGGGGTCCTAGGATCAAGTCCCACATTGGGCTCCCCACAAGGAGCCTGCTTCTCT